AGTCTTCTGACATGCTTCTTTAAATGTATATACAGTGAAGTGGAAGGATGAGTTTAAAAAGGGGCAGTTTCTCTTCTGGAGTCAGTTATGTGCAGCAAACGTATGCGTGTGTTATGAGCCATGAATCTTCCATGATTTGGCGTTACATATATGTAGCAAATGAAGATCTCAGTCTGTGCATAACAGTATGTGTTTAGGAAACACATTTATTAGAACACAATTACGTTTAAATTGAGCAATGGGGCAGACATTTGAGTACTGGCATTCCTCTACTTGGGTACAGCCATATCATCGAAACGCACCGTGGGAATGCTTCATGGTTTCTGGCCTGTCTCGGTCCTCTGCAGAATTACACCTAGTGAAGGTGGTGTCTCCAGGCTCAACACCAGTATTGATCTTTAATATTCAAAGTAGAATGGAAATACAGAGTTTATCTATCACTCAATTCCTGCTTGAGAGCAGGCCTATTTCCTGCACATATTTTTAAAATAAAGCAAAAAATTTCTCAAATATGTTGTTCCCATTCTCGAATGCTAATTCTGTAGCTTTAACATGTTTAAACAATTGCATTTTGATGGCGCTTGAAATGTAATTATTTCAGAGGCACTGGACTTCACGCTTTACCTAGTTGACAGTGATCTGTGAACATCACACTTGGTGTAAAAAAATTCAAAGTATTGGAAAATTATAAAATAAGCCACTGACGGTTCTTGGTGTGGTGAGCTAGAAGGGAGTATAAGTAAGGGGGGAATAAAGGTAATGACAAAGTTATTTAGGTGTTTAAAATAATTTAAGAAAGGAATTTGTTCGCAGTACCTGTTTATAACGTTTAATGCAGAAAATGCAGCATTCTTGGCTTTTCATTGAATTTTGGCTGATTGTTTGGCTTTTGTTCTAGCAGTAGTATACCAAATGGAAAAGAATGCGGACAGTAATGACTATGCTTGTGCTATTTAATGCCATTTTGAGTAGTAATATAAGCCACGGTTTGCATACAACAGCATTGAAACTGTGGTAATTCTGAAGACGTTCAAATTCCTAGATACTCAGATTGGACAGTACTATTAGGTGCGTAAATGCCGAATGTGTGGTTTAGACCTCAAGCACAAAGGAGGACTTGAAAAGACAAATCTTCCATTTCGATGCAGGATTATTTTGGATGTCCTTTATAGGTGTTGAAGGTCGTAAGCCTGCAATTGGGTGAAGTTGAAACACTGCACTTGAAATAAAGTTCTTCCGTTACAGCAGAACGTGACAAAACACGCCCAGAGATGTAAACTGAATGAGGATGATTCTGGAATTACGTTGAAATTGTTTGAATAGTTGTCGTGTAACTCGAAATCTCCCCAGAGCCTCAGTGCTGGTAATTAACAGAAATCCCAATGAATATTGAACGGGGGAATGCATAATGTTATGCGCAAGCAGACCAGTAGCCTGTGTGGCTGAACTGTGGTTGCAGTATACATTTAATTTGCTTTGGTAATTACGGACCTCTACCCAGTTAACAACAGCACTTCTTTGAGAGATCTGGCAGGTGAGAAAAAGTTGGTTTAAAACCAGCGTGAGCAAGGTGGATAATCTGATGTGTGATGTGTCACTTTCTGCTCAGAATCAAGCAAGTGGTGACTGGCTTGGTCCAAGGTTTTTCACCAAAATGGTCTGACGCTGTACCAGTCACCCAGTGCAACTCCTGCCTGGAACTCAGAGCTTGTCTCTCTTGATTTTCCTTTTTTAGATGCCTGCTGTAGTTTGCACTTGGCTAGGTAAGTCTAGCCATCACGTCTGGGTGATTTCTACAGCAGAAATGGAGGGTTTAAAATCTGAAATTATAAAGTCGTATGTCTCTTAGTGATAATTCTGTTGTACATTTGTGGATGGTCTTGATGAAGCATAACTTTAATAGCTTTTTGTAACTTCTAAGTTAATTCACTGCAACACTTGTGTTGAAATAATCTCTCTGCATCTTTGGACAACAGAGTGTTTCAGATGAGGTGAATCTGTTTTTAAGAACTGATAAGCACACACTGTTTTGTGTGCTTTAGAAACCGGCATGGTTACACTAGTTGTACCAACAAGAGAAGGAGCGTTGACTTCCAAATACTTAGTTAAATAATATTTGGTAAATAGAGCTTGGGTTGAATTTCATAACTTGCGTATAGGATTACAAAAAGAACATAATTTAATCTATGGACATTTTTTCCTAGCAAAGTATGCTGACACTAAAGTATGTTGTAGAAAGTTGTAATCCCTGGAGTACTGCTCCCGTAGCCCTCCTTGTGTTCAGGGGTACTGCAACTCTGGAGCAGTTGTTTCCTTCTTTATACGTATGTGCTTGTGTCTGTTCTAGCAGCCAGATTTAACTAATGTTAATTCTTTCTACCCGGTTATCTGCTGGCTGAAATATTCTGTCTTCAGGGTTGCAAGAAGCTGTTAAGGATGGAAGCAGTTCTCCTGTGGAGCTGGTATGTTGTGGGATAATGCCCCCTGCCGCTCTGGAGAATCAGCCTGGCGCTTCAGCTGCTGATCTACTCAGACACCAAGGGAGGTACAATTCCTGCCAAAAACGATCCCCTGTGTCAGTGCTGGCCTGGCAGTAGGGTCATGAGGCTCTCATGCCTACAATATAGGTGACTTCTAATTTTTGACGAGGAGAAATGAGCTGCATGTATTTTTAGGAAACCTGATTCCCAGTGTGGCATTTAATCGGTAGATACAAATATAGTTTTGGAACTGTGGTGGGGAACTCAAGTGGATGAAGTGCTCAGTGTTTTGCGGAGGTGGCATCAGGGTCATGGAAAGTTCCAGAGTGGGTGTTCATTGCCTGTTCCCTCCCTGCTGCTCCTCCCCTTCTCCCCTCCCCAAAAAAACACCACATAAACAGCTTACTCGGATGCAGAATCTCAGCAAAGTTACCCCAGTCTGCACTGTCAGAACATAACAGATTGTTTGCGGGGTAGCAAAGAGACTTTTTAATCTAAGAAAGTTATCATCAAAATATCAATTTCTGACTTTACAAATTTTTTGGAGGTACCGAGGACTGGAGACATGCCCAGTCATTTCAGAGATGTCCTTAATCCATCTTCAGTCCATTTTAGGCATTCAGTAGAAGAAGGATATAAGTAGATGAGTACAGGAAAAGCAAAAGGTAGGAGGGATGTGGATTGTTTCTTTTTAAAAATGTAGTTGTTTTTGTTTTGTTACTTAAGAGTTGTCTGCTTGTGTAAGCAAGCAATCATGTTCTAGATACAGGAAGTGCTGAAGGTTAGAGTTGGTAAGGAATTCTCTAAAAGTGGAACTCCACTGTTCCAGCTTTTTCTCTAAGCACTGATTTAGCCAGTTTCTTGTCTCTGTAGGTATAAAAACCGATGGTGGTTGACCTCTCGTTAGGCATGAGAATGCATTGGCGTCAGTATGGAATTTTTCAAGCTGTTTTCTTTTTGCGAAGAAAAATTTGTTTCTTTGGGTCAGGAATTTGACTGTAAGGCACTATTAAAGTTTCATCTGAAATACATGGTAGTACTGTCTATTGTCCTTACTTGATAACGTCTCCTTTATTGCAGATTATGATGCATGATTATCACAGAAGAAATTCATGTCTATAGCTCTTAAGGACTTTATTACATCATCTTCAAGCCTGATAGTTTTGGAATCCATATTGCAGCTGCAAAGACACGTCTGTTTTTGCATTTCAACAAACATCTTCCCTACCAGAAGATACTGAAACCGAAGCACTCTGTTTTAACACAGTGGATTATTTAAAGATCTCCCAGTTAAAAATTTACAGTAACATATTTGCTAGGTAAGTGGGTCCTGTTAGCTGTGTATACAATAGTTAATACTTTTGCTGAAATTCTGTGACTTTAAAACCTTGCTGTCTTTTTCTCTAATAAAACACAACAAATGAAAATGTATACAAATGGATAATGATCTTTGTAAGTAAGATAATTGTTGCCAGTTTAGGGTTGAATGCTTTCAGTAGTAAGTGAATTTAAAATAAAGGAATTAACACTAGAATGATTTCAGGTGGGGCTTGCTATTTTTATTGCTGATTTTTGCTATCCACTTTTTCTGTTTTGGGTGTTTTCTTGTTTAGTCTGATGTTCAGAATTTTCTTAAAGTTCAGATGGAAATAAAAATTGTTGCTGGTAACATTAGTAGTATCCCACATATTCTTTCCTCTAAAATTGTTGAGGAAAGTATACTTTTCCTTATGTTAGCAACTCAGACTTACAAATTTGATGATATTATCATTTCAAATTCATGAGGTCACCTCAGGGTCATATTTTTTAACTAAAAATCAATTAACTAAAGAGTCAATTAAATGAGTTATAAAATAGCTTCCAAATTCAGAAGTTAGTTTCCTGAAGTTATTTAAGTTGTTGTAGCTTTGTGATGAATTAAAATACATGGTTGTTCTTCATAATGTGTTTTAATTCTGTCTGTTTTGTTGGTGCTAATGTTCTTTCATGACTTCCAGCTACTCTAAAATACTTAAGTCATTACTCATAAAACTAAACAAAAAAATTTTTCTATACCTATCCCACTTCACTAGTTACTTTAAATTCTCAGTTCTTATTTTTGAAGAAGAAAAAAAAAAAAAAAGCTGACCAGTTTGACAGATTTCATGCAGTGAGCAGAAAATCATGATGAATATACCAAATCCAATCTTTATAGAGGGGAATAAGGTTTTGGTGTAATCTCTGTGGGAACAAGTTGGAAAACCACCAGAAAGCACAGGTTCAGTGTGTGGTTTTGGAGTTGGTACCCGCTGAAGTGATATGGATAAGTTAAAAGTTCTGGCCTCACTCTCTGAAAATCCTTAATCTAGTCACTCCAAAGGATTGTTGTCAACATGTCAACAGCAGTAGTACTCTTCTAGGCTTTTTTTTGGATGGATTTTTTTTTAATTCCCCATGAATATTTGTTTGCAAACAAAATTGAAAAAAAATGTTGTATCTCTAAATGTTGTATGTTCTGTTCTCAGCCAGACCAACACCAAAATGATTCCTAATGGGTATTTGATGTTCGAAGATGAAAACTTCATCGAGTCATCTGTTGCCAAACTAAACGCGTTGCGTAAAAGTGGTCAGTTCTGCGATGTCCGTCTCCAGGTAACTTTTTTCCATCTGAGTATGATGGTTGAATACGGTGGGTGTTTTGTTACACTATGTAATACTGTGTGTCTCACTGATAGTGAGGCGTGAGAATTCAGAATCTGATTTTTTTGAAAAATGCGTATGTTTAAAAAAAAAACAACCGAAAACCAAAACAACCTACCCAAACAACAGATGTACTTTGAGAGAAGCGATGCTAACATTTTTTTCGGCTGACATAAATTGGAGACTGTTGATTTGAATGATTGATTTGAACTGTGGCATTGACTTGGGTAGGCCTTTATACTATTATAATACAAATGTACATTAAAAAATTCTTACCAGCATGTGGGATTCTTATTTGTGTTTTAAATAAAGGTATGTGGACATGAGATGTTGGCGCACCGAGCCGTGCTAGCTTGCTGCAGTCCCTACCTGTTTGAAATCTTCAATAGTGATAGTGATTCTCATGGAATTTCCCATGTTAAATTCGATGATCTCAATCCAGAAGCTGTTGAAGTTCTCTTGAATTATGCCTATACTGCTCAGTAAGTAGTTTTCACAGAAACTAGAGAGAGCAGATTTTAATTTTAAAAAATCAAAATAACCAAGATAAAATTTCTTTAATAGGTTAAAAGCTGATAAAGAACTGGTGAAAGATGTATACTCTGCAGCAAAGAAGTTGAAGATGGAGAGAGTTAAGCAGGTACAGGTCTCGGCTCTTTCAGAAGCCTGTTCTGCTTTCTCAGGCTGACAGCATGGTGCTTTTTGGTGTTAATGAGACAAAAAAATGATTGTTCTGTGGAAACAGTGCTCAGCGGATGAGCTTCTTTAGATGTTCATTAGCATTGTATTGATTTGAGCGACATCAGTATGTATCGCTTCCACTTGCGTTATCTTTGTGCTGAAGGGTTCTTTCAGGTTGATTTTTGTGTTTGTGCACGTGTATAAGCAGAAGGGCTTCTGAGCCATAGCTGGTTGCATCAGGTTCGTGGAAGTGGTGCTCTGCTTGGATGTGTTGAGGGTATCATTAAACTTGTAAATCTGTGGCAGTGATATGTGAAAAAAGAATAATCTATGCACTCCTGAACATAAGTTTGGTAGAGCTTGACTTTAGGACTTACTCTTGCCACAAGGAGGATACCTTTGACCAGGGAATGGGGATTCTTATTGTTACTTGATTGCAGATAAGCAGTTTTGAATAGGCGTTCAATAGAAAAGCGTGGGGTCAGTGTATATGTGAGTAGCTTTTAAATGTGCATGGCCTTTAATATACGCATATTCCCTGTGGAAGGTGATGTTTCATTTACAGCTCTAGCGTGGGGGGATGACAACAGACGGTCACTGTGCCACAGTTAGAAAACAGCTGTTGCTGTATGTTGGGATAGATAATTTGGATGCATAAAAATCTTGTCTGCTTGTAAACTAAGATGCAGCCTTGTTTCTTAAAAGGTTTGTGGTGACTACTTGCTCTCCAAGATGGATGTTCAGAGCTGCATCTCTTACCGAAACTTTGCAAGTTGTATGGGAGACTCACGTTTGTTGAACAAGATCGATGGCTACATTCAGGAACATCTTTTACAGATTTCAGAACAGGAAGAATTTCTCAAACTTCCACGGTTAAAGGTTAGCTTAAGTTTGTAGGCTTCCTTCTGGGGCGTGATTTCCAAAAAGCAACCCAAGGAGCAACTCTCATGGCTTCCTTTGGGGGAGTAGGAAAACGTGGCGTATGGACTCTCACCAACAACGTGAAAATTCTGGCTCTGTATAGTACTCGTACTAATGTGAACCTTAACCGTAGAGAATACGTACTAGCATCCTTTCTAAGGGTAAAAGATAAGGGCAGTTGTACTTAAATGTGCTGCCTAGTTTCAGTGGCACAGGCTGAAAGCTCCTCGTAGATGGTGTTTTCTAGCTCTGTGGTAAAGTGAGAGTAATGCTCACTACGTGAAGTACAGCATGCTATAAATACAAGGGTAATACCTATAGAGTAAATCTTCCTTTCCTCTTCTAATTCAAGCTTGAAGTAATGCTGGAAGACAATGTTGGCCTACCCAGCAACGGCAAATTGTACACAAAGGTAATCAACTGGGTACAGCGCAGCATCTGGGAGAATGGAGACAGCCTGGAAGATCTAATGGAAGAGGTTAGTCTTTAAGAAAATGGGATTAAACTTTTTTCTTTTTTTTGTTTAAAAAAGTCAATATGAAGGATGATCCCTTTTTCTTTTAATTTTTTTTTCTTTCACTTTTTTAACTATGACCCTAAAGAATTTAAATTTTACTGTAGGTACCCCTAAGCTGAGAAACTGGGGGGGTATTCAGGTGAGCTGAATGAACTGTTCAGTCTGGTCTTCCGCTTTCCTTTTTTGCTCACTATGTGCTGTATAGTAACCTCAGAGTGGCGTGTATCTTGCTTTAGAATTGGGGAGGTGGTACTGAAACTTGCCATAGATTCTTGATGTTTTCCTTTGCAGGTTTTGCTTGTAAATGTGAAGTAGGTAAAAGCTTCTAATGGTTGTTCCTCCCCGTTGATTTATCTCCCCATAGGTTTATTAACAAAACTAGGATACCAAGGCTGAAGAACCAAGAAGAAACCTCAAGTGTATTGACACGTACAGAAGCAGCAGTCCTGCCCCAGTTCTCCTAAGAAAATCCGCTGTGGGCAGAGAACGATGATGATGATTTAATGGTGTTTACTTACTCCTTTACAGGATACATTCTTTTAAAAGTTGTGTGTTATTAAATGACTTTACTCATGAATACTAATACTAGATGTAGCCTGGGCAGTGTTTAATGGAAAAATTAGTGGGGAGTCTAAATTTTTAATTGGCTGGAGAAAATGGACTTTACAAAAACCCGTGAAACATCAAAATTTTCCCAGTTTGTTACTACGAGCACGGTAGATCTTCAGAAGCACTTGTATAGGCAAAAGTACATGTTGATACTGTCGTATATTCTCAAGTGTATATTTCCTTTTGGAATAGTTCATTTTAAAAGCTTTGATCGTGTTGAAATTCAGATGCGTTTCACTGAAACAGTTGCATCTGATGTTTAGTTGTGGACAACGGTTTTCTCCAGAACCTTTTGTGTTGTCTTCCCTCATCCCCGTACCTTTCTCTTGGAGTCCACTGTTGGCTTCTCTTGAACTTTTTTTGATCGAGATAAATACGTGTATTTTTCAAAGCAGAAAACTTGTTTGCGGGGATAACGAAAATGCTTGCATGAGATTTGTGAATTTGTGTAATTCTGCAAATTAATGTGCCTCTTGCTTGTCTAATGTTTCTGTGCTGGAAAAACAGTAGAAGTCCCTGGAAAATGAAGATTTCTCTCAAGCTGAGAAAGTAAGGAACCTTCATCCAGTGTTTGAAGATTGCCACCATGACATCTGCTTCCTTTTAGTTTTGTCATTCTGCTAGATTGAGATGAGATGACGAGAAGTATGCTGGCGACTGCCTTTTGTAATCTGCCTGTAGCTAAGTAGCAATGGAGACGGTAGCCACATGGGTATTCTGTTGTTGTTTTTGCAGGTTCAAACGCTGTACTACTCAGCTGATCACAAGCTGCTTGATGGAAATCTGCTAGATGGACAGGCTGAGGTGTATGGCAGTGATGATGACCACATTCAGTTTGTGCAGGTACAAATTGCAGACAGTCTGAGGTAACCCCAGATAGACTGGAGCAGCTTACAGCATACCTGAAGTCTCGCGTACCATAGCAGAGAAAGCTTTAATGGAGACATACGTGACGGAAAAGTATCTTTCTTGAAACTGCTGGAGGCGATGATTTAGTCTCTGCTGCTGGTTTTTCAGCAGACTGACTCTAAGCCTTTGTAAAACGGAGTGCTGTAGGTTTGACTGCAAAATAAATCTTAGGCTGTTAGAAGAAAGAAGAGGTAGAAGAGCAGTCAGCTGTAACAAGTCAGCTGTGCCTTTGTAGAGATATTTGAGAGACTGTAAAGAATCATGGACTGCTTGGCTTGCAGTGGAGAATGGCTTATGCATCGGCTAAATTTTGGCACGGAAAAAGATTCCAGACCTAAGTGCTAATCCTTCAGCTGCCAGCATCCATTTCTTTTGTTCAACTGCACTAGTAATGTGCGAGAGAGATTTAAAAAAGTAGCAGGAGAAAACTTGTGATCTAGAAATAGCCGATGCTTTGACTCTGTACGCACCTTGTGCTTTTTGAGATTTTTTTTTTTTTTTTTTTTTACTTCAAGCCAGATACAATAATTCTCAAGTCCTGAAAACCGCATCATTTAGCACAATGGAGGCCGTTTAAGAAACAAAGACTAAACAAGGGCTAATAGATGTAAATTATCAATTGCTTTATACAAATTAAGGTTGTTTAAATTCACTGAGTTAGAAGCCAATACATTGTAATATTTTAACTCGTAACAGTGGAATGTGCTGATACAAAAGTATGCTTCTTGAAATTTTTAGCTAATGTTTATGTAAAACACTCTCCATCCCGGAACATGGGTTTTAGAAGTGAAAAGGGAAGAAAATGAAAAGCCAGTTAATTTTCCAGTTTCTTAATTGTTTTTAGTAAGCCTTCACAGACTTCTCACCGCCTTGTGGTACTATTCCTTGTAATACTTGAAAGTTGAGAGGTGAACGTTCAGGAAGTTCATTTTTAGAAATCAAGCCAAGAGTTCTCAACTTTTTTTTTTTTAAAATCCTTTCTGATAATAAGAATTGCCAACTTCAGAAATTCTAAACAGTTGAGAGAATTAACACGAGCAAACGCATAGATGACAGTTCTGGAAAAATTGTAGCTTTTTTTTTAATTACAAGTTTGTAGTTTCTGTGACTGTTGAGGTAATCTAAGGATAAGAGAATAAGCTCTTAATTGGATGAAGGTTCAGAAATAACAAAAATGTCGTCCACAGGTGAATTGGTTTTCACGGTGAGCGGAGCATAGCAATCAAACCCTTCTGTATAAGGTTATCTCTGAGTTGGATGATGTATTTCAGAGGTCTTACGACAGTTTCCATAGAGATCAGACTCCAGGGAACTGTGCAAGCATTGCAAACTTGATACTGCGGTCATAAACTTGCTGCTGAAGAGAACAGACAGAATGTTAACTTGTTGTGTTTGGTTCTTACGATTCAGAAAAAGCCTGAACAACCCAACCAACTGTGCCGTGTAGGCTGAAATGCGAAATTTGGGGGGTTTTCTTAATTGAGCAAAATAATGCTAGGGTATAAAATTAATTGAAGAAGAAAAGGAAGCAGAAATCTCCGGTTAGCGGGAAGTATCAAGGGAGTAAAATCCAAGAAACAGCTAATCTGAGCACAGAGAGGAACTGAGGCGAAATTAATTTGTCTTCAGGGAATGAAGAGAATAGTTAATTCACTTCCAAATAGCATTATATAATTAACTCAAGTTCCAGAAGCAGAGCTTGCAAGAGAGGCTTCCAGTTTGTAGATCAAGTCTCCAAATGGGTGTAGGTTTTTCCTTGATTTGAAAATCCTGCTGGTAATGCATACGGTCTTCTAGGAATTAGAATTCATTTCTAGTCAGACACCAGCAGCATAAAGGTGCAGAGGATGAAATGAATACCAAGATAAGATGTAGGGTGGGTTTTGGCCGCTGTTGCCGAGTAGGCAAGATGTTCTGTTGAAAATTTAGGTGTGCTATAAATGCTGCTCTGCGGAGGTGGTAGACGAAGCCGTTCTCTTGAATAGTTATGTGTTGTTAGCTCAGAGAAGCAAAGGTAGAAGGAGGTGTAGTCTCTGGCTAGGTTTCTGTAGCTGCCTTTTGATTTTGCAGAAGAAGCCACCACGTGAGAATGATCACAAGCAGATTAGTAGCAGCTCCTCTGGAAGCCTTTCTCCAAATGCTACTGTTCAGAGTCCTAAACACGAGTGGAAAATCATTGCTTCAGAGAGAACTTCAAGTGAGTAACTGGGGGAGGGTTTGTGTAAAAGATGCCTCTGGTATTGTGTACCTACTGCCCCTTGCTCCCTGGAGATCTCCTTCAGAATGTAGAAGAAATGCGGAGGTGCTGTTTCGTACTGATGATGCAAGTTGAGTAATTGGCTCAGGAATTTGTGGGATGTCTTTAGCATAACTGGGGCCAAACTGGGATCACTTACACCTCCATTCCCTATGGACAGGGCCATCCCAAATCCCGGGGTGTGTATAACTTAACCAGAGAGTCCCAAGGAGATGGGCAGCGTCTGATCAATTCACAGAGCTGTTTGCTGTGTGCGTGCGAGGGGACCGTCTCCTAGCACGTCTTTAGATTGCCGTCTTACGTCCTTTGAGCACTGCGTTAATCATCTAAAATACCTATTTTTCGGTAACGCTCGGAACCACTAACCATAAAAAAAAGAGTTTTCATACTTAAAAGGGCAGAAGCATCATCAGAAGACCCCAGCTGGCATTCACCTAAAACTTTGCTATATTGATGGTCTCTCCTTTTCTCCTGACGACAGGTAACACCTACCTGTGTCTTGCTGTTCTGGATGGCGTGCTGTGCGTGATATTCCTGCACGGCCGGAACAGCCCTCAGAGCTCTCCCACAAGCACGCCGCGACTGTTGAAGAGTCTGAGCTTTGAGCTTCAACCAAATGATATCATAGAGAAGCCCATGTCTCCAATGCAGTATGCTCGGTCTGGCCTGGGCACGGCTGAACTCAACGGCAAGCTAATTGCTGCAGGTAAAAGAAGTAGTAACAATTCTTCTGGTATCTGGGTCAGTTTGGTCCGGGGGGGACGGTGGCTCTTAACTCCGTACGCTAGAGTCAGCGTTCTTCAACGTCAAAGTGCTTGCTCTTTGGAAATGTGATATCCTCTAATCTTTTGCTTCTAGGTGGATACAACAGAGAGGAGTGTTTGCGCACAGTGGAATGCTACGATCCGCAGAAGGACACTTGGACGTTCATCGCACCCATGAGAACACCAAGAGCTCGGTTCCAGATGGCCGTTCTGATGGTGGGTGGCGGGTGGTGAGCCGGTGGGATGTGACACGATGTAAATGTGGGTGGGACAAACGGGGCAAACATTACAAAATGGTAGCAGTAAATGTGTAGCTGCAATTAAGCAACTTCTGAGGTGTTAAATGATTTGGATTGTTGGGCACTTATATGTGAAGCAGGTATATTATTTTTATTTTTTCCATGTAGGGGCAGCTGTATGTCGTGGGTGGGTCGAATGGTCACTCAGATGACTTGAGCTGCGGAGAAATGTATGAGCCCGCAATCGATGACTGGACTCCTGTTCCAGAACTGAGAACCAATCGCTGCAATGCAGGTAACACAGCTGCACTTGGCTGACTGTTGGTTTCATTTAGATTGAGTCATTTATTAGCTTACTTACTAGTCTTTCCTATACGAACAGGAGTCTGTGCCCTGAATGGAAAACTGTACATTGTTGGTGGTTCAGATCCTTACGGCCAAAAGGGACTTAAGAACTGTGATGTGTTTGATCCCATAACAAAATCCTGGACAAGTTGTGCTCCCCTTAATATCCGTAAGTTTGCTGTGTAGTTTGGGTGGGAGCGGGGAGAAGGGTGATTGCAAACCCGGAGATTTTAAATCCAAACAAAAAACTGGTTTAAACTTCAGCCGCTGCGGCGTGCTGTTAGCGCATGGCTCCTGCGTAACCCCTGGTGTTGGGTTGCAGGGAGACATCAGTCTGCAGTGTGTGAGCTGGGGGGATACTTATACATCATCGGAGGAGCAGAGTCGTGGAACTGCCTGAACAGCGTGGAACGTTACAACCCGGAGAACAACACTTGGACCCTGATCGCGCCCATGAACGTGGCTCGACGGGGAGCTGGCGTGGCTGTTCATGACGGTATGCTGCTGCTCGCTGAAGGAAACCTCTTGTGCTTGATGAATTTTTCATGTTAAGCTGCAAGTAGCATATAAAGCTGTGTTCCTTCTCAGGAGCCAATACAGTAAGAGCCTGGCTATGCCTCCAATTTAATTAAAAACTATAACCAGAAAACCCCCAAACTCTTGTTTTTGTTTTGGGCCATTCCCTCCCACCCCAAATTTCCAAAATGAATTTCCAAAACATTGCCATGCAGCTTCAAAACTGCGTCTGTCTGAATTTGGACTTTGCCCTTACCCTGCAGTAACTTCCAGTCAGCTCTAATCCTCAAGAGAGCCCAAGCAGGTGCCTACTGCAACTTCAGCCCTCGAGTAAGGCAGGGGTTTCTGCAGGAAAACCTCAGGTTCCTCCATTTTGGCTTGGTTTGTCTCCCCAAAGACACTGCGTTTGGTGATGCAGCCACTGCTTAGCGGGAAAACACTCACTCGGTTTCCTTTTGACAGGAAAACTCTTTGTGGGTGGAGGCTTTGACGGCTCTCATGCGGTGAGCTGCATGGAAATGTACGACCCCGCTAAGAACGAGTGGAAGATGATGGGAAGTATGACTACTCCGAGGAGCAACGCTGGCATCACGACGGTGGCAAACACTATTTACGCAGTCGGGGGATTTGATGGCAATGAATTCTTGAACACGGTCGAAGTCTACAATCCAGAGTCAAATGAATGGAGCCCTTACACAAAAATTTACACGTTTTAAGTGAATTAAATTCCCTTTTCAAACTAACAGGCTTAGTGATGTAATTGTGTTTTAGTAGAGGTACACATGTGAATAGGGTTGGGGAGGGCATAGACGTTGCCAACAGCAACACAGAGCTTTTGCATATTGCATATTAATGTGCTGTACATATTTGTTTTGGAAAGAATATCAAGATGAAGGGGTTTTTGTGTATTTTAGGACTTTGTTTTAGGGGTTTTTTTTTTTAAAGATTTTGAAAATAATGCAAGAGAAACTAGACTGGGCATATCATTTCAGGAGCTTCCCCCGGTGTTTGTTTTGTCACTTTGCACATGAAATGACTTCTTGGAGGAGGTGGTCTCGGGCCAGGAAGTGTAAGGTTGAGGGGGAATTGTTTTTTCATCAGGCCTTGTTTTCCTTCAGTAACTGGAACAATCGGTAACAAAAAGCCTTATTTAAATAGATATAATGGCTATTTTTTTTATTAAAAAAAGCTGACATGCCTGCCAATACCTTATCTTTTATGATTGCCTTTTTATAACAGTTTTTATATACTCAACGGAGTATTTTATCTGTTGACATGAAAATGGCAGACAAACGGTTATTGAAGCAAAGAGACAACTGCGGAGGTGGTTGAGACTGAGAACTGCTGGACCTGAGCTGCTGCGCTTTCGCCTCTGCTACAGTATAGTAACGTAGTCCGGTATGCAGCACCTTCCTTAGCACGGAATGGAGTTTCTGAACATAACATAGCTGTGACTTTCTAGGATGGAAACACGATTTTTGGCTTCTAATATTTTGAGGAAAAGGCAGAGGGTGCTTTCTGTACGGCTGTTTTGTTACTGTGGGTGAACTAACCTTTGTACAACACACTTACCTGTGGGGATTTTCTCGTGGGTTTAAACTCTTGGCAATGAAAATACTCATCTGGTTAGTCTTATTTTTCTAATATTACAAGCTGAAAGTGTGATAGAACACACATAACTTGATTTCCTATGTGCTCCTAGTACTATGTTTTAGTTCACTTTCTCTATTCACCTGGATAAAACGTTGGTTAGGATGACTTGGTGTCTAATGTGTAGTGCTGCACATCTAACTCCTGGTGCCAAAACTAGCACTGACTGCTTGCTGCTGCTGCAAACACATTAAAGGTACCTCCTGGAAATCCTTGCACCACAGCCTGGCTGCGATGTGTCCGTGTCCTTTTCTTTAACAAGGCACCCTACGCCATCAGAACAGAGGGGAGGGTGGGAGGGGTCAGGACAGGTACCTGTCTGGGCTGAGTGGAAACAGAGGAGGGGTGAAGGGCTCTGAGCTGTTGCCTTGAGGAGACTCCCCTCCTTCCAGGCTGGTCGGGAGCAGTTTACTAAATGCTCCTGGGTGCTGCTCCAGAGGTGAGATGAGAAAGGGGCCGAGTGAAGTTGAAGAAAAAGCCTGTAACATAGTGGTGAAAAGAAAGGGCTGGTGCTGCTGTGAGGAGTCAGCTGAGGCCCTCAGCACTAATGAGGGAGCTGCAGGAAATGAAGCCACCAGCCATGGCACTCATTTCTGGCCCCAGCACAATCCTCATCTTCTGCTTTGATGCAGGACGCTCATAACGGACCTCTGCTGTAGGCTGTATCACACAGCACTGGGGGCAGGAGCACACTGCTACAGCTCTACCCCCCACCAAAGGAAGGGAGTGATTATTGCCAGCTGTACAGCTGGGGGGTCACTGGGAGACAATAGGTGTGAGCTGTCCTCCCCCCTGTGGAAAGTGCAAGTGAGCTACCACCCACACAGCAGGGGCTTCAGCTCTTCCAGCTCCCTCCAGTTAACTTCTTCCCCATGGATGGAAATGGCCCTTAAAGGGAGTTCTGCTCCTGCAGTAACTCCACCCCCCCTGCCCTCTGACTTTCCACTGTCCAGGGCAAGAACTGCATTCAACTTCCATCCACAGTAACTGGGCAAAGTGAGACCAGAGCTGATCAGAGACACTGCCCCATAGAATTAACTGCCATTTACTGTAACAATAAATTAGATTTTTACAATGAAGAATTTACAAATACATCCAAAAGTTGATACCAAAATAAACACTTGGAGAACTCTCTCAGTGATCTCATCTCTGTACAAATACATACATAAAAGAGGTAGCTCGAAAGGCCACAGTAGCATCAAAAATGGCTTTTAGAAAGTTTCATCCACTTCAAGCAGTTGTGGGAAGCAACAAAGAATACAGTCAGCCAGAGATGGCACCGGGAGAGCAGAGAGGAGCCCCAGAGCACAACCCCGGCAAGAGCAGGGGGGCAAGAGAAGGGCGAGGAGGGTCCTGCTGGATGAAGATGAAGGGGGTATCGCTTGACAATACCCACTGTGGTAAAAAGGGAACCGGTTTTCTGTTAAGCACCACACAGACATTGTTACTGGTTTCACTGCTGTCACCAGTGCAGAGCAGTTTCAGCAAACACAGTCACATCGGGTATTTTGACAGAAGCACTAAGAGGTCCAGGACAACACACCTGCATGGGGTTTGTTTTTTTAAAAACAAGCATCACTCCATTCCTTTCCCCATTCTCTATCCTCTCCAAAGCCTTACATAGCACACTACATACATAGGATACATCACACCAGCATTTCAGGCCTTCACAGCCATGGGGGTAGGAACCATCACAGGCGCTTGGCTTTGTGTTCAGCTGCTTTCCTTTCAGAGCCCCAGTATCCCAACACTCTTTTTTCCTCGCTTGTCACCTCTCAAGTCCAGCAAAACAAAGGTCTTTCTTCCCCAGGTTCTCCCGCACGGCCAGTTCCCACCCCAGCCCCTAACACGAGCTGTGGGAATTCACAGCAGCAGCCCAGCGCATCTGGTCGCCAAACCTGCTGCAGCAATCCAGAGCCCCTCACTTGAGAGGGGATTCTATCACCTTGTGCTTCTCAGCAGAAATTCTGAGATTTAATGTACATACGTAACTAGTGGGGTGGGGTTTTTGCCTTCAACTCAAATGCATAACAGCACCATCAAGAAAAAAGGCTGTAGATTTTTTGGCTCCTTGAGTATTTCCTGCACGCCCCCAGAGGCCTTGGGCTTTCTTTGGACAAGGAAATCAGAGCCGCGAGCGCTCCAGCCCCAGACCTTGACCCAGGTGTCACAGCCAGCCCCTGTTCTTGGCTTCCATCTGAACCGAGGCGTGACACTGCTTAACCGTGTGTTCCAGCTGGGCCAGCTGGCAGCATCCGACTTCCAGCCTCTCCCTAGGGAAGAGAAGATAGCAACCGTTATCGGGACACAGACAGGAATCCTTCAGCATGTTCCTTTAAAACAGAACTCCAAGGATTTCTAATACCACGCCTGAGCTCTGCCAAAAGCAGAGGATACTCAGTACCTCTGGCAATCCAGGCGTGTTTTTAATCTTTACAGGGCAAGATGAGGTTTATTACAGAGCTGGCGAAGCGCTTGCCTGTTCCCAGCTGTATCCCACGACGACACCCTGCGTTTCTGGTATCTGCAACCAAACATAACCTCCGAGGAGCAGCACCTGCTAGGAATTATTTGCTGCTTTCCTAATGAGCAAGTGGCTACAAAGGTTGAAAGCAGTTGGTTTGCCTCAAACTACAATTTAATATGATTTTGAACTAAAAAGAGATATGGCAGAAGACAAACTACACAGATGTGTATAATCCAAAAGGCAATTTCCATCAACCCAAGCAGCAGCAGTGATTTCTGCTCTAAAGCTGCTAAACTCAAGGATTTTATGCGCACACCTTGAAACAGCGAACCTGCAACTCAGCAAAAAGGCAGAGCTGCTTTTTGCTTTTCATTGTATTACGTAAAAGGAGTTTTAAAAAATAATCAGCTTTGGAAGGTCGTCTGTATCAGCTTTCTTGACAGAATGGGCATTTTGGAAGGTTTCACTCAAACCGCCTTTCATATATTTACACAATGTATTCACACACTAAATAAATCCCTTGACTCCACTGATTTATTATTTAGACTTTTGTTTCAAAAGAGGAATCTAAACCTGATTACACAGAAAACATTGTGTAACTTTGGTTCTCCAAAAGATACTTTCTCAAAAGACCTTTTTTTTTTTTTGAGGAGCACCTTTTAAAAGAGAAAAAAAAGCAAGGTCTAATCACACAAGCACAACCTGATGGCTACCAGACCAGCCTCTGAAATAATTTCTTTTTACTACACTGAGCACACATTTACACATGGCATCTTCCTTAGGCCTGTATTGATGCAGAAATATATCCAACAGCTAGATTTGTTAGGGGTTTGTGGGGTTTTTTTTCCACTTGATCAACTTCTTTTAATGTATGTATACATTTTTAAATACAATTCAAACTAAGGGATGTTTTTAAAAGGATACACACCATACTTGCCCAGTCCTTTTTGCTCTCACAAGTAACATAAGCTTGGCAGATCAGCCTGACAGAGCAGGAGATGGGTTCTATGACAAAGAGCAGTCTAAACGTACAGCATTTCTCCAGCGGTAACCTAAAGCACTGGCACCGAAGAACGTCCATCAAGTGCCGTTCATCAGCTACAAACGGCGCCTGGACTCAGTTTCGACACCGGTGAGCGAGGCGGTGCTAGGCAGCCAGTAGTAAGCACACACAGTACTTACTCGGGCTATCGGTTGAGCCCACGTACGGCACGAGAGCGACCACGGGGACGCCTCGGCAGAACGAGTTGTAACCCCCAGCAGCGAGTGCCTTGGCAGTTTTCCAGAAGAGCTCTTAAAAACTAGCGCAGAAAAACATCTTGGCTGAGACAAGAATGTTTCATTGTCCTCATCTCAATTAACATTTTCCCTGCGTTCTTCTAGGGGCCACCGGGTAACAGTTAAAATGGTAAATGGCACAGTACTACACGCAGACTTTTACACCCAAGAACAGTGCAATCGGCTAATTCCAATGTAGTTACTACAGTAAGCAGAGATAACGTTGAACAGGTCACGAGAGCTTGTTTCTGCACCCTCAAAACCACGATGGTGGATACTGGATTGTGCGTAACCTCCACGGAAAGGCGTGCGGGCGTGGGAGACGCGGCTCTGCCAGGCTGGCGGAAGGGGACGCGCGGGGCACTAGGGACCAGGAAAGGGCTGAGGAGTGCCCTCCCGAGGGCGGCTGGCAGCAAAGGAGATGCACCAGGTAGAACAGGCAACAGAGCAGTGTGAAAGTCACACACAGCTTTCCAGAGATCAACCTGGACACCCAGACCTCCAAACAATCTATTTTCTTAGTTCAGACAAGATCAAAGGCTTAGCAAAACAAAGTCTGAGTAATTCTTTCTACCACTTACCCTTTACATCAAATTGTCACTTATTAAATGATACAAACTGTTCACTGCTCAACAGTGACAATTCAACAGCCTTAGACAGTACTAAGTCAGTAATTTTACATCTTCACATTAGTTGCTTGCCATAAAAACTAGTGACCTGCCTGAAACTCTTCTTGCAGTCCAGCAACCCTACTGCCTGCAGCGCACACCTGAACGGGAGGGAAGGGAGGAAGAAACGAGGCCTTTAACTAAATCTCCTTTAACCTGCCCAATTCTCCTGCTGAAGCAGCTCAGGATTGTGGCATGTTCCCACTATTGAGAAGGGGAAAAAAACCTCCTTCCACTGCAGAAAGATTCACCAGGCTAGAGTTTTCCCAAGCCCGCTTCATCAGGTCTGAGGAATCTGTACTGAGGTCACCACCTTTGTGTGATCCCATCTCTGGGATCTACGGCCCTGTCCCCCCCAACCACGTTAACTCTGACAGATCTCACGCAGCACAGGGCTCTGCTCAGTCTCTACCAATGTAAGGACAGGGGAAGTGTGGAAACACCGGGGGGGGGGAACCCCAAACCCACACCAGAAAGGGAGAGGTCTTAGGTCAACAGGACTCACATCTACGGGAGGAAAACCGGAATCTAACAGGCAACTAGTGGGCAAGTTCAGGGGGAAAAAAAAAAGTCACATAAGTTTCTGATGGAAAAACTTGTGTGACTTTGCTGAAGATGGAAAAAATTGTTACAGTGGATCTTGGGGGCAAGGTCATTCTTTTTGTTCCATTTACATCCTAAAGATCTGGACCCTCATCCTCGGCTGGCACCTTCTAAACACTCCTGTGACGCCAAAGCTGACAGTACCACCGAGAGGTCTGAGAGCAGCGAGAACTGCGCGTGCAGCTTTGGCTATCTGGCTTCAAGTAGTCCCTTTCCTTCTCCAGAGGGACACTGTGGATCAACCTTTCGAGACAAGAGCATCTTTGGCGTATCCTGAAAAAGGAACAGCCGGAGTACAAATATCGGAGAGGGGAATTTACCTCCCAAAGAATTCGGAGGCCAGGCTGAAAGAAACACGTTGGCTGGTAACTGAAGCAAGGGGCAACACTCTGTTCAGTGTGTTTCTGCCAAAGCACAAGTAGCTGGGCCTGCCTGAACGCAGTCTCCTTTCCTGTGCCTTTGGAACATCTCCTGTTAATGGAGTGCTTTTAGAGCCTCATTTAGCACCTCTGCTTTATTGGGTGGAGTCGTATTTTATTTCACTTCTGTCACACCAAATAGCTTTGCCGCTGCAATAACCGAGACCAAGACGTAAGAAGTCCTTTGAAAATCTGTGGATTGAATTTATAGCAACAGATCTTAAACTTTGCTTCGCTTGCTCTGTATGTTTTCAAAGGACATCACTTACACATAACAAAAACGTCACCCTCACCCTGAACCACTCATCCAGAAAATGAAAGTTCTGCCGAGAATGTGGTTTTGACCACGAAATCCACCATGGCACGCAGAATTCACAACTGTGATCCAAGTTTTCGGGCCATTTGATAACGTACGGACCCAGGGACGCCATTCAAACATCAAACTGCCGTTCCCTGGCTACCCTCGGCACAAGTCAATGGCTGTATGGATGCTGCAGATTTTATACGGACAACAATGGAGATGTCCACACGTTTGGAAAAGCGAGAACTACCAAAGTGCTGGTCACCAATCCGAGCCAGTCAAGCTTCTAAACTCCTTTTCTCTGCTGATACAGAGGTTGAATCTCTCCCTCCCTGCATTAACTTCTTCCCCCGACTAAACAACTTGCACTTTCAAATTCACCAGAGATTTACAAAATCAGTATCAATCCAGAGAAAGGAAAGCGTTTTAGAGTAACTTGACTACTTGGATTAAAATAATCTGCAAGCCTTTTACATGGCTGACAGAACCATTTACAGCTAATTCATACCCATATAACAGCAACATCAAAGAAAATATTTACCTTTTATTATCCACTTAAGATTTATTAAAAAAAAACCCACCACATTATGGCATTCTTAAAAACTTCACAGAACTTGGATTTACAAGCCCTCAATTACACAAATTCAGAAAGAAACCTTTTAGGAGCCAGAAACTTTACCATAAAGAACTGTAAGGCTTGCATGACACTCATTTTTAGATGAATGTTTCCAAGGCCTTTAATTCAGCTGTACAACAGAACATCTATTTTCCTGTGACTGAACTGTAAAAAAAGCGTCCTAAAATGGAAACAAGTACTTGGAATCTTACGTTTCTTTCTCCTTTTTTTCTAAGCGTAGTCACAAATCGCTTAGGAGCATACAATAGTTTGATTTATGACTTTAATAATGATGGCCACAAAGTAGCACAGCAACTGCAGATAGGCCCAGCTTTCATGGTATAGTTCAATCACTTGAATTGCCTTGAGAATCGCAGGGGTTTTGCTCCTCTGCTGATTTAAGCAAATTTCTCATAATAACGAGCTCTGTTACAAGAAGTACCTCACCAAACCAGAATTTCAGTTATAACCAAATTCATTTAAAGGCAACCTCATGCTCTAACATCCCTTGCAATCCAAAACTGGCAGAGGAAAGAGAAACCGGCATCTCACCTCAAAGTCAAACAGCTGAAAATCACTGCGTAGATGCTAATGGCTCATCTCTAATTTAATTTCTGACCTCTCCCACCCTGTTGTAATAGAAGGGGGGGGAGGGGGAGGGACAACAAAACATCCCCACTAATCTTCCCTACGTCCCTCCTACAATGGTGATTTTTTTATTTATCCAAACGATTTCTCTTACAGTACTTTGGTTAGTACAGTACATGCTGAAACGCTGTTTCAAAACCCGTCTGATGTGGTCAGTAATTGGCTTACCGATATCGCTCTTGTGAAACACACTCATAAAGCTCCTCAGCAGTAAATTTTATACTGTTATTTATCTAAAACAAAGAACAAAGAATTAACATAGTAATTTACCACTTATCACATATTGGTTAAAATTATACAGCTGGTAAAACAGATCTGGTTAATGTATTACCTAACAGGCTCTCGAGTTGAGACAGTACAGGAAAAAAAAATCCTGCTATTATAAAATCAAGTATTATAAATTAATAATCAGGATTGTACGTAATGGGAGTGATAGATATCACTCCAGCTCCATTTTCTAACAACTTCCGCACAAATCTACACGACCTTAAATAATTCTTCTTCCCCTCTTAATTTACCCAATAGTTCTATAGCAAATGAAGTTCTGAGTTGCAGGAATTCCATGGATATAGTCAATATTCGCCGTAGGAGCTACCTCACGCAATGTACTCG